CCCTAAATTATATACTTATAGTACTTTTTACCCCTGAATTATTCATGTTAGCATATTAGCCACCTCAATTATTCTAAAAGTGACGATCCCCCCCCCTCCCCGATATATTAAATTGACATTTCTACCCTTCAAGTAAACATTTTATTTATTTTTTTTCTCAAACAAATTATTGTGTATACATAGGGATGACCACAGTTCGGTTCTAACTGAACCGGACACTATAGCAATCGAATTAAAAGTTTACTAGAATTGTAAGGAATAATGAGGCGATTTTATTTGTTACGAATATACAATTATGCAAATTATTTCTATTCACAGATTATTACATATATAAAATGGATTAATATTTGATGCGCCGCCGGTGTATAGATGCTATACACCGGCGATAAAGGAGAAGATGCCACATCATTACAAATCAAAGCCAATATTAATCGGGTCCTTTTTTGTAAAATATCTAAGAATTGTATTTTATTAGGAAACTCTTTTATTTCTATTTAACAAATTATATCTACTTTCCTTAATATATTTATTACTTAATTATTAGGGAAAATGGCACTTTTTCCCCTTGAGTTATATACTAATAGCACTTTTTCCCCTCCAATTATTTAGGTAAGCACATTAGCCCCTTCAATTATTCTAAAAGTGGTTGTTTTTCCCCCTAATATATTAAATTGACATTTATACCCTTAAAATAAACATTTTATTTATTTTACTTCTCCAACAAATTATTGCGTATACGTAGGGATGACTACGATTCGGTTCGAACTGAATCGGACACTATAGCAATCGAATTAAAAGTTTCCGGTTATGATTCAGATCTAGAATCCAATATTTGGATTTCAATTTATTAAAATTATGAATCAAAAAAATTGGATTCTGAACCGTGAACTGGCGGTTCCGGACCCGATTCGCGATTTTGAACCGTTTTTATTTTAAAATTTTATTTTTATTTTAAAAATAGTCTAAATTCAACAATAAATGTATTTTATTTTTTCAGCTCGGAACATGAACCCGTTCCGGGATTTTAATAAACTCTAAATATCGAGTTCCGATTCTAAATTGTAATTGAAATATTTCGGTTTGGTTGCTATAGTGTTTATTTGGTTTGAACCAAATTATGGTCATAATTTGTTGGAGAAGAAAAATAAATAAAATATTTATTTTAAAATATGTCCATTTAACATTTTAGGGGAAAAACAGCCACTTAAATAATTGAGGGGGGAAAAGTGCTATAAGTATATAACTCAGGGGGAAAAATTGCCATTTTCCCTAATTATTATATACCTAATTTTCTACACATTTTTAATTATTAGATACATTATTATTATTAGTGATTAACCATATGCACGGCTGATAATTAGAAATAATTAGATGTTCTAATTATCATATTTGCACGGGTTGTTAAATTATTATTATGTTCAAATATGATTATTATGATTTAATTTAATTATACTAATTTAAACAAACATGATAATTAGAACATCTCGCATAGGCAGCTCAACTGGTCACAGAGGTAAAACTTTAGAAGAAGGACCAGAGATCGTGTCTCACCAGTGGTAGTGTGGGAGCAACTTTTGGTTTGCTTTGAACAATTTTTTATTTTATTGCCAATTCAAAATTTATTTATTTATTTATTATAAATTCTATTTCTTATTTTTAAAATAATATAAATTCAATAATTATTTTATTTCATTTTTCGGTTCTTAATCGTAAGTATAAGAAAATAAAGTTGCGTTGTGCCTTCACAATTAGTTATATTTGTTCTATATTTTATTAAACATTTTTAACCCTAAGAATCTAAGCTCCACTCCCAAGGTTTGGACCTATGACCATTTATTTGAAATGTGATCATATTACATGATAGTTGGCTTAATCATATTATATATAATATAATAATCATATAAAAACAAATTGCTGTTAAATCAAAGTAATTGTAGATTACTAGTATATATGTCCTCTAATGAAGGTGTGCATTCCTCAAAAAGAGAGAAATCAAATATAATCTTAGATATAAAATCACACTCCAAAATGTCATTGGAACGTAATGGATTGTCAACTTCAATATGACTACGAAAGCCTAAGAAATCAATAATTTTTCCTCCTTTTTAACTAGAATGAAGTTTGAAAGAGTAATATATAACACATGTGATTGCAAATTAAAACAAACTCCCTTTGTCTTTGCTTACGATTCAGAACCGAAAAAATAAAATACAATAAAATAATTATTAAATTTATTTTTTTAAAAAAAATAAGAAATAAAATTTATAATAAATAAATAGATAAATTTTGAACTGGCAATAAAAAAAAATTGTTTGAACTGAACCGTGACCATCCGTACATATAAACAATAATTTGTTGGAGAAGAAAAATAAATGAAATATTTAGTTTTAAGGGTAAAAATGTCTATCAAACATAAAAGGAAGAAAACATGCCACTTTTAATATAACTAGGAGGCAAATGTGGATACATGAATAACTAAGAGGGAAAAAGTGTTAAAAACATATACCTAAGGGGAAAAAGTGTTATTTATAATAAATATTTGTTAAAAAAAATAATGTTTGACTAAAATTAATGAAGGTGGTGCAAATAGCAATTTTTTATTTACGCCACCTAAAAGTTATCACATCTATTAAATAGGTGGTGTAAATAGCAATTAGGGTGGTGCAAATAGAATTCCCCTATATTTGAAACAAACACTTGACACGATTAAACACTCCCTAATAAAAGTTTCATTTCCCCTCAAATTAAATATTTCGATTTAATAACCAAATATTTTAGTTTGGTTGTAAAAATTTACTGAATTAGACAGAAAGTAGCCTTGAAATTTGTAAATTATCAGAATCTCAATCCAACTTGTACTATAAACTATAAAAGTACCATTGAAATGTGTAAATTTTCAAATCTCAAGTGAAATAACATGTAATGATACGTAAGTCAACTAGTTAACTAATTTAAAATAAACTTTTAAAGATGTATTGTGTGATAAATTTTACTAAAAATGTATTATACAATTAAATTATTGATTGTTAGGTACAAAAATCACGTTTCACTCATTTTGTGATCATTTTTAATTATTAATAAATTTTTTCAATAAAAAAAAGAACTCGTAGTTATTATTTAAGTGAGTACATCAAATAAATATAATTCTGCATTGTGACCTTAGTCAGTAAATGGCGGTCAATAAATTTTCTTGATTACACGTATAGTGCAACCAAGCTTTGAGAGAAGAAGAAGAAAACAAGGCACTGTTGCACATACGTTGTATGTGACCTTAATACAAGGAATTCTACTACCTTAAAAAGATTAATGGCTTGTTTGGTTTGATCGTATCGAAAATATTTTTCAAGGAAATTTGATTATAAATAGTTGAGGAAAATGTTATTTTGTGTTATTTGGTTCATATAATTCATTTTCATTTGAAAGTAGAAATCTTTACATTTGAGAAAAACAAACTATGACTAATCCATGGTATTTTTTTTGTTCACAACAATATAATTGGGAAGAAATATGACCTGAGTACCTGACATAACTATTTTACCCTCATAAAATTTTATTAATAACTATTACTTTTATTATCATCATTATTATTGTGTAAGGACATTTTGATTTTATATTTATTATTCATTACAATTTCAAATTCAACCAAATAATTGAATTTCTTTTCTACCAATCAAACAATTAAATTTCATTCATTTTCAAATATTTTTCGCGATTTAAACGGACCGTAATAAGTATTAACTTTGTGCTTAATATATTGGACAATAATAACGGTACGGAAACAACTATTCACAGTTTCATACCATTTCATTCGTTCTTCATACATTTGTATAGTATTATTTAATATCTAAATGCTGGGGTTAACATTTTGGGAAAAGATTTATCCTTCTCAAAACGCCATTCATTAATAAATAAATAAAAAATTACTTCCAAGGCGTCTGAAACTCATTAAATAAAAGAGCTTTAGCCTTTTTTTTTTTTTTTTTTTTTTTTTTTTTTCCTTCTTCATCCGATGTGAAAACACATCACATGGGGAAGGGTTAGAAAGATGGGGAATTTAACTCCTTTTATGGAGGAGTTCAACCCCCTCTTTTCTTTCCACTCTCGAATTGATCCGACATCCATTTGCTTTTTATTTATTTATTATCATTGTTATTATTATTATTATTATTATTATTATTATTATTATTATTATTTTGTTATAATAATTAATGTTTTTATCTTGTAAAGTATTATTCATTTTTTATTTTATTATTACATAATAAAGATAATAAAGCCTGCACCAAACAGTTACTAACCAAATAAAATATATAAACTTATAAATTTATTTTGAGTTAATTAATCAATTTATAAATTATTTTTTTTCTCACTTGAAAAGTCAACTTCGCCAGCTTATTACTATTCTTCTTGACATTTCACTATCCCACTATGGTAACAGAGATTTGGATCTGATGTGGGTGATGTATATTTAATTATTTATTACTCGATTGTTTAATCATATAATTATATTAGCAGCTCAATCACAAACGTATTGTTTCGATTTATTAGGTCAATTTATTATTATTTCTACACATGACATCAATTATCTCTCCGTTATAGGAGTAATTTAAACTCGGTTTCTTTTGTCTATAGAATTAATTATTTAGTTACGTTTTATTGTCTGTATATTAGGAGTTTTTTTTATTATTTTTGAATGATTAAGAAATTTTTTCGTCATTAATCAATAGTGTAAATTAAGTAAATTTGGTATTGTAACTCTAATCATCAAAAGGGTACGATTGTCCATAGTGACTCTAACTAATAAAGTCAATAAACTGTTCTATTTGAGCAAGAGTCCACTTATTTTTTGTCACGACATGCAGGTCTTAACTATTAGAGACACTTTTAAAATTTTATGATTAATTCTCATTTGTACCAAATCGATCCAATTAAGGGACAAAGTGTCTGACAGTCGGGCCAGATTGGTTTTTCTAGTCCACTTATTGATGGGTTTATTTATATCATAAGGAGTGAGGCATATCTCTACCTACTACTTCACCACTGCCGTTCACTCACTGAGTAATAAGCAGGCTCAAAATCAGCCGTAATCTAGCACCGTTTCGATCATGGAGGGGAGAAGATTCCTCCGCCATCTTTTTCTGATCTTCTTCGTGGCTCTTCTGGTGGTCTTCACGCTGCAGAGACTCCCATCTACGCCGTCCAACGGGGCGGAGCTACTCGACTGCGCCACCAACTCGCCGTGGTGCACTTTCAAGAACCGGTTCCAGGGAAGAACAAACGGGGGCGTGCTCAAGAACCCCGTCAAATCCACGCGCCGTCGCCAGGACGCCGCCTCCGACGTCCCGCGCCACCCGCTCGACCCCCTGACGGTTCAGGAGCTCAATAAAGTCCGTGATGTCATGAAATCCTACGGCCCCTTCACCGCCACTCCCTACGCTCTCCACTACATCACTCTCGAAGAGCCCGAGAAGCGGATCGTCTCCGCCTGGAAAACCGGCGACCCGCTGCCGACCCGGAAGGCCTCCGTCGTCGGCCGCGCCGGCGGGGTGTCCCACGAGCTCACCGTCAACCTGGAGACCGGCGAGGTTACCCTCCTCAATACGGGCCGTCACGGCGGCTCCCCGATGCTGACGGTGGAGGAAATGACCACCGCCGTCGCTGCGACACTGGCTAACGCCGAGTTTAACCGCACAATCATCGAACGTGGCGTCGATATTGGAGAACTTGCATGCCTGCCTGTCTCTTCTGGGTGGTATGGTAAGTAGTTTTTTTTACTCTTTCTAACCATCTTTCACACCGTCAAAATTGACGGCAAAATCTTTTTGAACCTTGTGACAAGAGTTTTTTAGCTTTCAGTCCGGTTGGGACAGGATCTGCGAGATCTTTAAAGTTGGAGATTTAACATTTTGAGAAGAATATATGAAATCATTTTTATATTATTTGATCTTGATTATTAATATTTTTTTTTATTTAAGTACTAACAAGATTAGGGATTTAACCCATGACCTCCTATTCAAGTGACCCACTTTATGCCTAGACTACAAAATCATTGGCTTAATTTTTATTTGGTTTCATGATTTTTAAATTTTTATTATATTTAATCTCTTTGATCTAATTTTTTTTTTATTTTATCACCATTGACTTATTTTAAAGAACAAAATTATCATTTTTATTATTTTTTTCTTGAATTTCTCAAGGACGAAACAAAAAAATTGATGATTTTGTCCTTCAAGATAGCTGCATGAGCCACTTGCCTGAAATTTGATTGTTAGTGATAAAAATTAGGTAAGAGAAATAAATATGACAATAATTTAAAAGTTCTAAGACAAATAGTGAAAAATTAATAGTCAAAAATTAAATGTGAGAATGGTGGAATAATCCTTAGACCAAAAGTGGGAAAAAAAAAAAAAAAATTGCCTTTGTGTTGCAGTGCTGATAACTTTTGTGTGTTTCTGTTTGTTTTAACGGCGAAAACGACTAGAACGAGAGATGGAGGACAAGAGGAGATTGATAAAGATACAATGCTACACCACGAAGGGCACTGCAAATTTCTACATGAGACCCATTGAAGGATTGACGGTCCTGATTGATTTAGACACCACAGAGATCATAGAAATATCCGATCAAGGCAAGACCATCCCGATCCCAAAGGCCGCCAACACAGACTATCGTTACTCGGCTCAAAACAAGAAGGTCAAGTTTCTAAATCCAATTTCCATCGAGCAACCAATGGGTCCAAGTTTCACGGTGGATGGACATTTGGTGAGGTGGGCAAATTGGGAATTTCACCTCAAGCCCGACTCCCGAGCCGGGGTGATCATCTCTCGGGCTAAGGTCCGGGACCCGGGAACCGGGGAGATGAGGAGCGTTATGTATAAAGGGTTCACTTCCGAGCTTTTCGTGCCGTATATGGACCCCAACGACGCCTGGTATTTTAAGACGTATATGGACGCCGGCGAGTACGGGTTCGGGCTTCAAGCCATGTCCCTTGACCCATTAAACGACTGTCCGAGGAACGCCTACTACATGGATGCTGTCTTCGGCGCCGCCGACGGAACGCCCTACGTCCGGTCCAATATGATCTGCGTCTTTGAGAGCTACGCCGGCGACATCGGGTGGCGCCACTCAGAGTGTCCCATTACCGACATGGACGTAAGAACATTTCCTATCCCTATGTTACAAGTTCGACTTCCAGCATGAGCATTCTACTGATTTTTTAATTTTTTTTTGCTAGTCAGCTATAGGCAACTACTTAAACTGAATTATCTCGATCCTTTACCAAACCCTTGAATAGTGACGACAGATTATTCTCGCCACCCAAATAAAGATTCCCTATCCTAAGTTAAAACACAAAACTTAAACGTCAACAACGTACGTTGACATAACATGTGTTGTTTCTTGTTTGTCGTGGTATCTAATTATATTTGAGCAGATTCGGGAGGCGAGGCCGAAGGTGACACTGGTGGTGAGGATGGCTGCGTCGGTCGCCAATTATGATTATATAGTGGACTGGGAGTTCCAAACGGACGGGCTAATCAGGATTAAGGTAGGTGATTCATAAATCATTTCTTGCTTTAATTTTCGTACTTTACATTTCATGATGATTATTTCGATGTTTATTAGGAGTGGGTTTTGTTTTATATAACGTTATCATGTTTGGTCTGTGAGATAAATATCCTATTTGTCCCATTTTATATGTCCTACTTATCATTTATTGGTTACATCATTAGTATTTTTTTTATCATTTTTAAATTTAATTTTTGTGTTTAATAGTACTTTTAGTGTAGTTTCTAAATATATAATTTGTATACTAATACTAAATTTAATATTATAAAAAATTAAATTTAAAATAATTTCAGTCAAGTCCCATTAACCGAACTAGATACATTACGCCACCTTAAAAATATCGTCCCCGGTCACCTGTGAAGTCTGTCTTTTTTTATTCTCTAGATTTATTGATTGTCATTTGTCAAGGTGATGGGATGGCAAATTGGTGATGACTTCCCTCACGGCAGGATTTGTCCTTTTTAAGGTTGTTTTCATGGTTAACAGATTCTGTAAATTAGATTTTTTTAAAATAATTTTGTCGAGTTATATCTTAGATTCCGTATACCTGCTCCTAGACTTAGTCTTTGAACCTTTTTTGGGGGGTGGGGCTAAATATCACCTAAAAACTTGTTGAAAATTAGTTAATTTAGGTGATGCATGTTTCGATAAAACTTGTTAATAAGTTAAATGTAATAAAAATTTAAATCGAAAGACTAATTCCATGGCTTTTGTAACATTTTTACCTATTTATATCCATAATCTTCAATGGTAATTTTTTTTTTGTCACTATTAGTCAATTAAATATAAATATTTTACTATTTTAAATTCTTTATGCGAGTTCTTCAGCTAAACACCACTTAAAAACTTGTCAAAAATAATTAATTTTATTGATGTTTGGCTAAAGAATTTGTCGAAATGACTAAAATTGATGTAAAAAAAATAGCTGGAATGTATTGCGTATGAACACTTATGAAGAATAGAGGAAAAAGATCCAAAAGTAGCTGCCGAAGGCCTTTTTATTAATTGTTAGTGAGTGTTTCTAGATAGGGTAGAGAGAGAGAGTACTGGAGAGGGAGGAGAGGAAGAGCCCCCAAAATGGAGGGTTGAGGCCCTTTATATAGGCCTAAGGATTGGCGGGTTTGATTTTAACCCGCTGACCCAAACTGTTTGGTCCTGACCCGACAGCTTTTGAAGAGAGCATGGACTTACAAGGGAGGTCAGAGCCTAAGGTATATTTCCTATAAAAAATCATAAAAAATTTAAAATTGAGAAATTAATAAAGGAAAATACTACAGTGAGTTTTTATTTTTTTACTCCTACTTATACTTCACTTTAAAATTTTTGACGTGAATACTTTTCTCTGTCACATCAAGAAGTAAAAGTGATAGAGTTGAATTTGATAGTATATATGAAAAAACTATAAGTAAAAGTAGTATAAAATTCAAGAATTAATGATCAGGATCGAGTCTCATCTGCGATAGTGTAGAAGCAACCTAGAGCAACATCTCAAAATGAGGGACTCCTTGTGGGCTGAGTTACTATAATTTATATTTTTCGGAATGCTCTGTCAGTCAAGGTATACGGGTATAGGGCCCCTTGGGGCTGGAACTCAACCTTTTTTGGGGAGAATAAAATTCAAGAATTTTTGCCATAATTCTTAGTGAATTATTTGATTTGACAATTGATGAAATGGTGCACTCTCGCATGGTGACAAAATGGTTTTTGGTGGACAGGTTGGACTGAGTGGCATACTGATGGTGAAAGCGACGCCATATGTGAACATGAACCAAGTGAACCAGCCGGAGGAGTATCTTTACGGCACCCTCTTGTCGGAAAACATCATCGGAGTCGTCCACGACCACTTCGTCACGTTCTATTTGGACATGGACATGGACGGCGCCGACAACTCCTTCGTCAAAGTGAACCTCCAGAAGCAGCGGACGTCCCCCGGAGAGTCGCCGCGGCGGAGCTACTTGAAGGCGGTGAGGAGCGTGGCCAAGACGGAGAAAGACGCGCAGATCAAGCTCAAGCTTTATGACCCGTCGGAGTTTCACGTGATCAACCCCAACAAGAAGACGCGCGTCGGGAACCCTGTCGGCTACAAGATTGTCCCCGCCGGCACCGCCGCCAGCCTGCTTGACCACGACGACCCGCCGCAGATGAGAAGCGCTTTTACGGATAATCAAATCTGGGTTACTCCGTATAACCGGAGCGAGCAGTGGGCAGGTGGGTTGTATGTCTATCAGAGCCATGGCGATGATACTCTTGCAGTTTGGTCTGAAAGGTAAGAACACAAACACAACCCTATTGAATCTTGGAAGTTAACTCAATCAAGATTTGAATTCCACTCGAGTAGGGTGGCCTTGATCCTCTTGATTTAACAGAAACAGTTTATTCACCTAAACTGGTTTAATTACCTCCTAATGATAGCAACCTATTAGCCTCTGATTTATGTCCTAGTGAGAAGTGAGAACGACTTTAGGCAGCTTTACTTCCTAGCTTGAGCACCCTATTAGCCTTAGACTAGTTTACTTCCTAATAGGAACGACCTATCTGTATGGACTGATTTACTTCTCAATGAGAGCAGCTTATTGACCTTAATATAAGTTGGTTTATCTCCTACTTATTAAGGCGGTACAACCTGCATGTCAGTCTGGGCTGGTTTACTTCTTAGCGGGAACAACCTGTTAGTCTTGATATAAGCTAGCTTATCTCCTAGCAGGAGCAATCTATTGGCCTCAGCTTATCTCCTAGCAGGAGCAATCTATTGGCCTTAAGTAGCTAGGTTTACCCCTAGTGGGAGAGATTTATTGACTTTCTTGATTTGAGTCTATCAATTACCTGCAATCTAGATTGGTGTATCTACTTGTAGTCTTCTGTCGGTCCATAATCACAAAATTAGATTTACTCAATGCCCACAATAAGTAATAGCTACTAGTTTCCCTCTCACTCAAAAAAAGAAAGATTTGAAGCAATGAATGTGTGAATGTTGCAGAGATCGGGAGATAGAGAACAAGGACATTGTGGTATGGTATACATTAGGGTTCCATCACATTCCATGCCAGGAAGACTTCCCAATCATGCCGACTGTAACATCGAGCTTTGATCTAAAGCCAGTGAATTTCTTCGAGAGCAATCCAATTCTTGGAATCCCACCCAATCAGGAGAAAGATTTGCCGGTCTGCAAGGCTGCATCTTCAGCTTGATCATCTCTCTCTCTCTCTCTCTCTGCAAGACTGCAACTTCTGCAATAGTGAAAATGCTGGACCTTCATCCGCGCTGCACTCATGAATCATCATCATCATGTATATAATCTCATGTTTTTCATGAATAAAGCTTGAGAACAGATTGAAATTACTGTTTCATCTCTGTTAAAAGTGAATTGCGAGTAGGAATCAGAATCTTCCATTGTAAAACTGTTTTCATGGCAGTACATATATACTGCTGTATATCAATGGAGAATGGTGATGTCATGATTCTGTGATATTCTGTCAGACTAGACAAGTGCAAATAAATCATGCTATCATATCATAGTTACATTCAGAAAATTTTCTATTAATAAGAGAAAAAGATCAAATTTTCTCAATCTCACAAAAAAATGTATTTCTTAGAGGTGAAACTCTCATACTGGCGTGACCTTGCAGGTCGCTCTTGAACCAACTAAACTACTTGTATAGGCTCCTAGTTGGCTAGCACTAGGAGGAGCACTACTTGTGTAGGCTCCTAGGTGCCTAGTTGGCATGCAGACGCACTAGGAGGAGCACTACTACTGTGTAGGCTCCTAGGTACCTAGTTGGCATGCACTAGGAGGAGCGGGTTCCTAGTTTACACCAAACACTGGTCCTCGCTCCTATTTAAAGAGTTGTTGAATCACTGGTTCTCTCATTTAATGGGTTGTTGAGTCACTGGTCCTCCCACCTAATGGGTTGTTGAGTCACTGACTCCTCTACTAAGGTTGTGTGTGGGGTCCCGCATGGACAGCTCAGTTAGTCACATATAGGTGAAGTTTGGAAACAATGATTTGGGATCGAGTATCACCCGCGACAGTGTGAGAGTAACCTCTCAAAGTGAAGGAGCTCCTTGTACGCAATAAGCAAATGTCTAGTCTCTATGTTATACTTTATTGGGTCGGGACATGGGGGCCCTTGAGATTGGGGATGCAAACTTTTGGGAACAAGATTGCATGTAGGGATAATAGGGGCAAGAGATTTTCATCTTTTGTGAAAAAGATGTTTCTTAAACCATTAATGTATGAAAACTACACAATGGATGAAAGGGTAAGAATTTAATGCACAGAGAAAGCAAAAAGTTAGAGAGATCTCTATGAAGTTAAGGATTATGTGGATTGCACTAGCTCTTGCTGCTAAAGGGACAGAAAGTGATGTGTTAATGATGTTTGAGAACAGGTGTTTGTAGAATACAAAATACTAATTAAGAAAGGTTTAGGTAGTTTTCATAAATTTAGGAAAGAAACATTTTTGGAACCCAAAAACAAAGGTGTATACATACAGAAAAAGATGCAAGGATTCTCTTGCTGTAAATCATGAAATAACTACTACCATGTAAGTTGTACTGAAAAATTTATGTCAAGCAAATACAACATCCATAACTTGGAAGCATTTCACATGTAAACCAAGCAAAATGAGGATGTAACAAGAGCTTCAAATTCTACCCAGAATGGGTAACCAATTTGACAATTCATTTTATTTTCACCAAGGACAAATATCCCACTTTCACCGACCAATTTGCACTAGTGTATATGAACTAAAGATTCGGTCCAGGGAACGCCTCTACTTATCTGCTGCATTTAACAGTTGCTTAACTCTTCGTGCACAGTTGGCAAACCTTTGAACTGCATTGGCACATTTCAGGGGATTCTGCTCGTTTTCCTTGTAGCATTTTGCACAAGCATCTCTCTCCTCCAAGCACGGGAATGGCTTGTGTTCGGGAAGTTTGAATTCCTTCTCATGGAGATCCTTTGCTCTCTGTGTTACTTCCTGCAACATGTTCTCCTCCTGCTTTTGCAGCCTCTCCAAGACCTTCCCACTATCTTGAAGGACAGACCGGATAGCATCTAACTCCGAAAATGCAGGTTGCTGTGGAGGAACGGGCGAGAACAAAGGTGGCTGAAACGGCCATTCAGAGGTAGGCTTCTGCTGTGCATTTGCTTGGGAAGCGTGAGTTCCTTTGGGAGGTGTCTTGGGTTTAGGCTTCTTCGATCTTTTCTTCAATTTCTCACCCTCATCAGCAAGCTGTTTAACTAAGTTACTGCTAATCTGAATGGTAAACGATTCACCCATGCTGTTTAACTAGTCAGCAGCTTCTAAACAAATTACCTGAATTATCCATTTATCCTTGTGTCAAAATGGCAGCATGGCAACAAAAAGGAGAAATATTTCACAGTAACAAATATCATCAACCATTGCACCAAAAACATGATATAAAGTACTTCATAAATGGAATGTTTTCCGGTTTTCCACTAGTTCCTTCCGACTAATGACATCCCCAGATCCCCATTTCCCCTCATAAGCCACCCATTCTACCTACATTCTCAATCTAATTGGCAATACATTAATACTAAGATATCTGCATAAAGGACCATAATAAAATTACTAGAAGCAATGTACCGCCAGCACTTATTGAGATAAATGATGGAAAAAGACTTAAGCTTGAATTCAAGTTAAAAAGATATCATTAAGAATTACAACGGATTTTAATGCTTTAGTAAGACTAAATGGAGAAACAAAAAATCCATGAAGTAAACACCAACTATAGAAGGATTAAGGATCAGTTGAGTTCAGATGGGTAGTAAATTCGTAGTAAAACTCATTAGCCAACCGTTTTAACATCCCCAAGTTCAAGAACTGTATAAAGAAACAACTGCACCAAAACAACAGGGATGGACAATGGGAGAATATGAAATATATGGAAATTCAAGGCATATACACCAAAATCAATTCTTCATAGTAGCAAAGAAGGTATATACCATATAGCGAAGGAGGCATATACACCAAAATCAATTCCTTTCAACTACCATGTATTGAAGAATGTATATACCAAACAATATTTTCTTATTCACTACAATATATTACTCGGTGTCAATAACCAACAATGTCCTGAACAACTTCCACATCCCCACAACATACAGGCGCTGATCAGGGATTAGACTAATATTCGTAAACCCAACAAAAAGTGTTTCTCAATCTTTCCTAGCAATGTATATCAACTTCCCCCATCATCACCTATCAAAAACATGTTTATTGCATTGATTAAAAAAATCACTTGAAATAGGATCCATTCTCAGTCCAAAACATAAAAAGAGAACATACAATGCAAAAAGGATGAACCTTTAACTTAATGGTGAGAACTTGAACGCTTTGATATGATCCAACTACTGTAACTTCCTCCTAAAATTTGGTTAAAAATAAAAACAAGTGAGATGAACAAATTTTCTCAGAGGCCAAACAGAACATGAATCCTACACATTGCAATCCAAATTACGCTCAGAATCCATCCAATTAACAAACAAGAAAATGTATTGAGATCAACATAGTTTCCTTAGAATCCACCCAAAAACTCATAGCAAAATTTGTATAGAAATCAAGTTTCCAAAATCCAATAATTATCTGGGTTTGAATTTTCCACCATTCACATCCAAACGTGCATATAGATCTAGAACATTACATGAAAAAAATAGTCAATCATAAACATCACTTACTCCAAAAAACTGGTGAGATCGAGCATCATGGTCGCAATCGGAATTAGGAGCTACAACGGTTCGAGATGGCGGACGGAATCGGCGGCGAGGGGTCGACGGAGCTTAGAGTAAAGAAGGAAAAAATCGAAGCTTTGGAGTTGGGGCGTGGGAGAAGCGCAGCGGCGAAGAGAAGCAAAATACGGTAAAAATGCCGGGCCGAGGAGATTATATCTGAGAGGGGCAATATCGTATTTTTAGTTTCAAAATGGGCTGGAGAACTATCCTTATATGGGCCTCGTTTATAACCCACCCGGACCCAAATTAAGTACTACTTCATATTTAGCCCATTATTACTATTCTGGCAAATTATATCATGCACCGCGCATCAAAACGGCGTCGTTTTGATTAATGAAAAGAAATGGCATCCGTTTTTCGTCATTCCACAAAAAAGTAATTCTGTTATTCAGTTTCACTGCAGTTTCAGTTCAACACAACTACAGTTTCATTTCGATATAACTACAGTTTCATTCGATATTTATAGACTCGAATATGTGAAAATGTTATTTAATTTTATTTTATATAAACTATAGTTTTACTAAAACACAACTACATGATCATTTTGATATAATTACAGCTTCATTGTACAATATACATTCAAATATGTGAAATGTTATTCAGTTTCATTTTATATACACTGCAGTTTCATTTTAGCACAACTACAGTATCATTTTGATATAACTGCTGTTTCATTTGATAATATAAAATAATACGTGAGGCATCGTCAGTTTAGATATACTGTAATGTCGGTTGGTAATTAACATACAAAAAAATACGTGATCCGTTAACACTAACGGCGCGCCGTTTTTTTACTTAAAGAAACGGCGTCGTTTTGACCGCGGTCCACGATATAACGACTGTTGTATTCTTCAAACATTATTACGACAAATTATGTTGTGGCACTGTGTTCACCTTGCAAGGTGGACACGATTCCAAAACTGTTCATAATTGTGAATATAAAATTAAAAAATTATGAACATAGAATTCTATAATTATGAACATGAAGTTCTGTAATTGTGAATATAGAGTTCAATAATTGTGAATATGAAATTTTAAAATTATGAACATGAAATTTTAATTATGAACATAGAGTTCAATAATTGTGAATATGAAGTTTAAAAATTATGAACATGAAATTTTATAATTATGAACATAGAGTTCTGTATTGTGAATATAGAGTTCAATAATTGTGAATATGAAGTTCAAAAATTATGAACATAGAGTTTTATAATTATGAACATAAAATCGTGTTCACCTTGCAAGGTGGACACAGAACAATTGCATTATTACATGGACCATAGTCCATACAACTGTGTGGATCATAAATAAAAATTACATTTTTAATATATTAAAAGTATATTATTCGTGTACATAAAGTATATTATTTGAGTACTGAATTTACATTATTTTTATATGCTATTAAATAATATAATTCAAAGCATTTCTGATCTATCAAAGCATCATCAAAAGAACACCCAACAGTAGCAAGCTTGAAATTGCAGTCCTCGTAATCATCCTCCCTGCACCATTTGCTGTAGAATGTTCCACCACAGGAGGGGGAGCTAAGAAAAAGAAAAAGAGAAAACTACAATAAATATATATATATATATATATGATTGATAATCTTAACCAAGTTGGGGGCAATTTGCTTGGTAATATGGTTGTTAAGAGTGTCACATCTATAAAATAAGAGACAATAGATGAGTTTTTAAGGTATAAATTAGACTAACTAATTGGTTAGATTCAATTTTTTAATGTTCATTATAGTTCAGTTGAGTGTTTTAAATTAATAAAATTAGGTACGCAAAGAATTGAAACCATGATTGTTTACCGCCGTCGCCGTCGTCGTCACAGTGGATGGTATCGGAAACTCCACATAGCCGGGGAAGATCATAGGGCGATCTGGGGCTTTCGTCGCCTTCAACTTTGGAGAAGCTCAACAGCCCATGATCCCTGGCAAGCTTGCAGAGACAAGGAACCTCGTTAGCCAACACTTCTCTCAGCCCGTCGCAACAGGGCGCCAGCTCCCCGGTGGAGTTTAAGTACTCAATGCAGGGGATCAGCTTCTCGGCGCACGACGGAAGCTGCTCCTCCTGCGCCTCCGTCATCGCCGCCGCCAATAACACCACTGCCGCCGCCACCATCAGCACGGTCACTACTCTCGCAGACGCCATGTTTTTACACCTAAATTAAAACCTCGTAATCAGAAGCCGGCCGGTCGGCCTGCCTGAGACTATTGTATGTTAAGTATCTTGATTATATTGTATATACGTTATATCATATCAGCTAGCATGCACTTTGCTTATTTATTATTCTCAAATTAAACAGTAGATTAATAAAGAAATTATATATTTTGATTATATTAAGGAACAACTACGAGGTAAACAAGGGGATAAATGCTGCATTTAACCAACCAAACAAACATTTTGCCTTGTTTATTAGTTGTCTTCATCGCCTCAGGCCGGTGTCCGACGTACAGCTCGATTGTATGTGGCCATTGTTACGTTGTGTTTGGAGGGTAGTATACTATATAGTTGTCATAAGCTAATAATAAAGGAAACGTTTGGTTAACGGAATAGGACATATATGACATTCTCAGGCATATTCCTTTGTTTGGTAACCATTTCTATTACTAGGAATAATATTCCTTGTAATAGCCTATTACCTCAAATAAGGTAATAGCTATTACTAGGCCCCCTTTGGTATTAGCCTATTACTGAATGCTCAGGAATAGATTTTAGAATCTATTTTCTTTTTTTTACCCATTTCTTTAATCTAATTTTTTTATCCTATATATAAATTTATCCTATTTCACCACTGTCGTCGCTGCCACCACCATCACCGACGTCACCACCACCACCACCATCGCCGCCACCACCATCACCGACGTCACCACCACCACCACCATCGCCGCCACCGCCACCACCACCACCATCGCCACAACCGTCGCCGCCCCCACCACCACCGCCGCCCCCACCACTGCCACCGCCACCGCCACCACTACCACCCCAGCACCACCACCATCGCCACCACCACCACCACCATCGCGACCATCACATATTTTTATAAGGGTATTTATGTCTTTTAAAACATATTTCATTTCTATTCTTTAAATCAGCCAAACACTGTAATATAATTCCTAAAGTCTATTCATTTCGCGAACCAAACAATAGAATACAATTCATATTCTATTCCTTGCCTATTCCATTCCTTATGGAATAGCATTCCTATTATTACCTCAAAATTCATTCCGTGAACCAAACGTGCTGTAATAGTTTAAGCATAATTGTAGTTTTCATTATAAACATATACTGCATTGTAAAGAAACTTTCTTACCAAATTTCATTTTTAGTGAATAATATACCACTGAGAGTTCATGTCCATCTATTCCATGTTCAATCAAGAAAAATAGTGTATTAAGTGGTCGAGTAGGTAAAACATAACTTTCCTTTTCCAGTTAAGTTCATTGCACATAAATTTTCTGATGCTATTTATCTCCCATGTGTGGAATATGTAATGCATACTCACGAATAGTTAAAAATTCGAAAATCAAATTATTAATAAATGCTATAAAGTTTGAACCATGTACCATTACATATTATTTGGAAGTAGTGAGTTTTACGTCTAAGCCAAACTAACGTCTAAGCCAAACTAACCTTTAATTTAGTTTTAGTATATATAACTAGTAAGTGTCCCAGTGCGATGCATTTACTATTATTAATTTAACAAATGAGTAAATTACACTTTTAGTCATATGATTATAGGAGGCGTGTTAATTTCGCTCCATGACTTTTAATTTAAAACTAACAATTCAGTCCTTTAACTATGTTTTTTTTTAAGCAGATTTGGTCATTTCGGCCAACTCACCGGTGAAAATTGGCCGGAAAAACTTAAACCTTTTTAAATTTTTTATTCATGAGGCAAAATAGTCTTTTTACGTAAGCTTCTTCTTCTTCTTCGCGTTCATGAGCTACGGGTAACAGTTGCCTCTGCTTCCAAGAAAGAATAGCTCCAAGAATCGAAGTCTCAGGTTCAGAAGCAATGTATGATTTTTATCCTCAGTTTTTTCTTCATGTCTACTGCGAATTTCTTGATTCATCTTCCCCAGATCGCACGGTATAAAGCTCTATAATTGATCTAAACGCCCAAAAATATTCTTCTCCCTATTCTAGCCACAACCATCCGGCATCCCAATTATAGCCACGACGACCAAAACATAATTGTAGTATTGGTTGTGGTCCTGTGGATGATGATTTATTTATAGTGTTGAAGTAGGTGTAAATGTTCATGTAAATATTGATTCTGAATTTTAAATTTATCTCCAATCAATTAATGTTAGAAACATAACATAATTATTGCAATGTTAATTCTCAATTATAGACCAACAATTATTACTCAAATTAATTTTATGAATTACTCTCCTATCCACTAAAATCTTTTTGCTTATTATTATTCACTTTGATTTTCTTTTCATCTTTATTTAATTATTTATGATAATTATGATTAGGAAAAGTTTTTCCCTAATTATTTTACTTTAATATATATATAGAGGTAGAGATTTTAATATGTGTTAATTTTCTCTTTGGTGCTTTGCTTTCATGCCATCCATCTTTAACAGGTATAGTGATTTGTTGTATACTCATCGTAATTTATTCTGAAATTTATTACAACATTATCATCCGAAATTTATTACAATACATTATCATAACATATAATGGTGTCATGGTGAGATAAAGGTTACAATATATGTATTTTGTGGAGTCCAAGAACTCAACACATTTGTGATCTATCAAAGCATCATGAAAAGAACACCCAACAGTAGCAAGCTTGAAATTGCAGTCCTCGCAATCATCCTCCCTGCACCATTTGCTGTAAAAAAAAAAACATGAGAAAAACAAATAGTTTCATTCATCCAATGAACATTAAATTGATGATTAGAAAATTCTAATGGATCCACAAGACCAAAAAAAAAACAGAAGAAAAAACATGATTGTTTACCGTCGCAGACGAAGGTATCGGAGACTCCACATTCCTGGGGAATATCATAGGGCGATCTGGGGCTTTCGTCGCCTTCAACTTTGGAGTAGCTCAACAGCCCATGATCCTTGGCAAACTGGCACAGACAAGGAACCTCGTTAGCCATCACATCTTTCAGCCCGGCGCAACACGGCGCCAGCTCCCCGGTGTAGTTTAAGTAGTCAACGCAGGGGGTCAGCTTCTGAAGGCACGACGGAAGCTGCTGCTCCTGCGCCTCCGTCATCGCCGCCGCCGCCAATAACACCACTGCCGCCACCATCATCACTCTCGTAGACGCCATGTTTTTACACCTCTTAATCAGAAGCCGGCCGGCCTGCCTGAGACTGTATGTTAAGTATGTTGATTGTATATATCTTTGTATTGGAATGCATGGCAGTTTATATAGTTGCAGTCTGGTAATATCTAATGTATACTATATACGCGTTGTGTGTCTAGTAAATAGTAATCAAATGATGTCGTATACTGACAACCGAAACTTTTATTTTTTATTTTTGGAATTTAGCATTAGGTATTTTCATTCATGCCAAACTAATTAACCTCGGGCTTTCCGTTGAGTTTCACTTTTACGGGGCGTTTGGTTGGAAGGAATTAGGGTGGAAAGGAATTGCAATTCGGTGGAAAAAGAATAAGGTGTGAATAAAGTATGAATTTAAATTACATTGTTTGGTATGGATGAATAGAATTATTAGGTAAGGAATGAAAGAAGTGATATAAAGACTAAAATGTCCTTGTGTAATAATAATAGTATTAATAATTAAGGGTATTTTTGTCATTTCATCCCTTTTTCCTTTTCCCATAACCACCGAATTGCAATTCATAGGGGGTTGCCCATGAATTGCAATTCAGCAAAAGGATGGAATTGCAATTCCCTCCAACCAAACGGCGTAATTGTGACTTTCACTGAATTACAATTCAACTACAGTCAAATTACGTCCAACCAAACTGGCCATTACTCTAGAGAACGGAGATTAGCTGTTGACTTACTAGTTATCTCGAAATGCTGAGTTATCTTTCATCTTTAGAGAGGTTGAGAGTTCAAACCTTATACTAAAAATTAATCTGGCCCATTTTTATTGTGCCTATCCTATTGGTCGAACCTTGTTCTCTTCTCCAAACCCACACCCGTGTGGGTGTATATTAAGGAAAAGCTGCTACGAGGTAAACAAGGGGGATAAATGCTGCATTTAACCAACCAAACAAATAAACCTTTGTTTGCCTTATTTATTAGTTGTCTTCATCGCTTCAGGCGTACGACGTACAGCTCGATTATGGCCATATATTGTTATTACGTTGTGTTTGGAGGGTAGTATATAGTTGTCATAAGCTAATAAAGGAAACTAATAGTTTAGGCATAATTGTAGCTTTCGTTTTGTCATAAAATATGGAAGAAGAAACTTCCTTACCATTTCATTTCATAATCAAATTGAATTTAGTGAATATACCCTTGAGAGCTCATGTCCATCTATTATTTTTTTTGGTACATCTGAAGACTCAAAAGGAGAGCTATCTAACATGGAGAGTAGACAGACTCCGAGCATCCTACTCAGGCCAGTCGGGGCGTGATCAAACATGAGTGTACCCCGGTCAATCGATTGACCCAAATTTGCCAACCAGTCAACACATTTGTTCCCTTTCATGTTCACGTGAGAAACTCTGGACGTAGGGATCCGAAGTATGAGGTCCATGCAGTCCTTAACGAGAGTTGTAGCCGTCTTATCTCGATCGTGATCACCATTCAGAATAGCCACAACCGCGGCCAAGTCCATTTCAATCCAAACTTTGTCGAAACCCTCTCTCAGACAGAATCGTAGACTTTCCCTTAGGCCCCACAACTCTACTTAGCAACTATTAGAAAACCCCACCTTAGTAGCAAACACTTTGACCCAATGACCATGGCCTCTTCGTCCCGAATGAGCCCACCGCTCGTGTCCATATATTCGATTGATGTTCAATCAAATAAATAAATAATACAGTACGGGGTTAAGTAAGTAAAACATGACTCTCCCTCTCTGTTAAGTCCCTTTTGTGAATAAAATCGAATAATTACATAATTTCTTATTTATTTCAGCTCGACCATGAGAGACTGAGAGACCCATCACTTCGTTCATAAAAATATGCTAAAGAAATACTTTTTTTTTTTTTTTGGTTAATGGATTTATACATGACTCTTCTAAAATTTCATCTTTAATTCCTCATTATAATTACATTTTTATATTTAGTTAGTTCATGAACTTTAATTTAAGATTACATTTAAATACCCAAACTTGAGAGGGAGTGAAACTTTGCTCTAAAAGTTGATTAAAGATGAGTTGAGATAGTTCTAAGTTTTATATATTGAGCCTAAACGTCTAATCCACATGTTTTATAACCTCTTTTATTATGTAGCATGTTTAGACCTGTGAACAAAGAAAATTGAATTATATTTGGTAATATTCAAAATTCTGGGTTACAGTAATATATCAAATGCGGTGTGGGTACAAGTCTCTGTGTAGTCCTCTGATTCTTCAATTTGATGCCTTGAACACTCCACCATTGAAGGGCCTCCGGGTTTCAAGTGGCTTGATCTTCAAAGAAGGGCTTGTATATATAGCTTGTTCTTCTTGAAGGGCCTCCGGGTTCAAATGGCTTGATCTTCAATGGAGGTTTGGATCAATAGGCATAGGCATGATCATTATGGAGGAGAGACTTCTACTTTCAGTATCACATTTTTATTGTGATCCTGAATAATATTTTTCTAAATGTTTACATCACTTTTCCTAGGATGTGTGTGATTACATAGAAATGAGAGCTCCTATTTATAGCTGTAGGATAGAGAGTTTTGATAAGCTCAAACTCTTTTGATATTATCTAATTAACAAATTAGATAATATCAATATTATCCAAAATATTTCAAATATATTCAAATATACTAATATTGATAAATAATCAATATTTATCAAAATTTAAGTGTCTACAAGACCTTCTAAGCCTTATGTGGTTAATTAATTCTATAGTCCACTACTATTCAATTTTATGTTGGGCCAAACATTTATAACCAACCTCCAACATAAACTCCTTTGGTCTGCAAACATTTTTTTTTTTTTTTTTGAAAATCTTTGGTCTGCAAACATGATTCAACAAAAACTATGATCTTAAGCCCAATTCGTGCTGAATGGCATATTTGCATGTAAATTTTTTCTTTTGAATGACGAGGGAAACCCAAAACTCGTATGCACTATCCGATAGTGTATACTGAACAAATCCTATATTGTAAGTTGTAACGATAATGGGCAAATGACCCAACATAAATTGATTATAGTTGATTGGTTCAAACTAAGAAAGTCAATAACTCGCTCTCGCTAAAGTCAAATTGCGTGTAATTTAATTATATATGATCATTAAAGTAAATTTAAGTCGCATTGCCAAAATGCGCCCAAATAAGTATCGCAATATAACATGCACTTATTCGAACCATATAAAGTTACAATATATGTAGATTTAAAAGATGTACTCCGTAATAAAATGTGTGTAAAAATATAATGTGCAGTCCGGCCGGAGCAAATTAATGAAATCTGTGATCTGATCTACCAAAGCATCAAAAGAGCATCGCAGCAGCCATCACCAGCAAGCTTGAAATAGCAATCGCCGGAGTTCCGCCGGCCACACCATTATTATGATCTCCACCCGGTGTTGCTGTAAAATTTCCGATCATACAAAAAACACAAAAGTAGTGTCATCAATAATAATATATCCTATAATATAATTGTGCCCACCAATACTTATGTATGACATAATTTTAACCTTAAACTTGAACTTAGAGTCACTATAACTATTTTGATGAGTTCAAACTTGAGCCAGCCTAGAACTTCAAGCTGTACTCAACTTGTTTGATGGACCTTAAGTGATTTGTTAGTCAAAAAGTAATTAAAATTTTAGTCATCCCTTAATTAAAGGTGTTTATAAATTTTAGCCACCTATCAAAGGGTGGTTGGAAAAAGTTAACTCCCAACTACGTAAGTCATCAAAAATATGTTTATTAATTGCACTAAAAATTACGAAAATAAATGTTAGCATAACGCATAAGATTGTTTGTGCACAATACAAATCAAATCGATGTAGTTGTTATTGACACCCTAAATATTTGTGTTAATTTTACACAAATTTAGTCTCTTAAGTGTTTATAATATTATACTTTTAGTACCTATTGTTATATAATTATCAAACTCATTAACATATTGGTTTATATTTGTCATTTAGGATCAATATCTACGGCTGAAAATGACGTTCACATGGAGAGAATAAAATTTTAACCCTGGTTGAAGTTGATTCTAAATGACTAAAATAATCTCATAAAAAATTTTTTTAACGTAGTTTATATAATACTAGAAACTAGAAGTACAATATAGTAAATAATTAAAGAACTAAATTTACTACGATCAATTAACAATGATCAAATTTTCAAAAGTTAAATAATTCAGAGACTAAAAGTGTTGTTTTTTCAATAAAATATATACAGTGGCACCAGATGGCTCTCCTAAATAGGAGATCATAATTTTGAGCCTTAGTGAACGCGATATTATTGATACTTTATAAGTTGTAACAGAGTTAGTAGCTAGTACTTAAACAAAAAAATAATAATAATAAAAAAATACCTGGAGGTGGGATGGATGGACTAGCTCCCGGAGACGTGGACGGACTAGCTCCCGGAGACGGAGCTGCAAATGAAATTATGAAATAAAACATGTAAAATTATACTATATATTAATGGATGGAAGCAGTAGAAAACGTTGACGGCCGGATATCGATCTGAAAAGAAGATCGAGAGGCGGTGGCTTACCGTTGCATGCACTGATGTCGCCGGGAATTCCACAAAGCTTGGGCAGTTCCAAGGCCTGGGTGACATTAATGTTTAAGCCCTTCATCAGGTTTTGGTCCTTGAACAAGTTGCAGAGGCATGGAAGCTCTTTAGTCACGGCTTCTTTCAGGGGGTCACAGCAGGACGACGGTGGCTTGGTGGTGGCGTTTAGGAAGCCGGCGCAAGGGATCAGCTGCATAGCGCATGACGGAACCTGCTGGGCCTCCGTCGTCATCGCCGCCGCTGCCATCACCACCACCGCCACCATCATCATCGCCGTCGACACTTTCCCACAACCCATGTTATGTTTTCTCTTTATTAGTCGTCTTTTAATTTGCCACTCCAGAATTCAGATGTGTATTTCTTCATTCATAAGTCAATTTATATAATAGCCTATTTAGGACGGCAAATTATGTTGTGCATCCGCGTGCACCATGTATGGTGTACACGGATACAAAAACAACCTCGTTTTGATTAAAAATGTGCATCTTACTTTTAAATTTAAAAAAAATCAGTTTTTATTCTCGACAACAGCATTATGTTATGCATAATTTGAACTATATATCCAGAATCAATGAACTAAAAATACATAATGAATGAACTAAAAAATTCATAATAAATGAATTAAATATCCATAATGAATTAACTAAATATTCAGCATGAATGAAAAAAAAAATCAGTTTCGATTTCCGTCTAAATATCCAGAATCAATGAACTAAAAATCTAGAATCAATTAACTAAAAATCCAGAATCAATGAACTAAAAATCCAGAATCAATGAATTAAAAATCTAGAATCAATGAACTAAAAATCCAGAATCTATGAACTAAAAATCTAGAATGAATGAACAATATAATGTTGTTGAGGGGAATCGGAACTGATTTTTTTTAAGTGGGACGCGCATTTTTAGTCAAAACGACGTCGTTTTTGCATCCGTGTGCACTATGCATGGTGCACACGAATGCACAGCATAACGCTCCATTTAGGACTGCACCCCAACTCTTCAGCTTTACCGTTCTTCTCACCTACCTCTCCTCGAATGTTTGTATATTAGTGTCTACAATAAATTTTACATAATACAATTGTTAGTAAAGTAAAATTATCAAATTTATTTTGAATTGATTGATTAATTAAACTACATCCGGAAAGTAGTCCTATCACACACACACACACACACATAACTCTTTGTCCTAGTGAATATTTTACGGGGTATTTAACAACTAGTTAACCGGCATCATAATTCATAACTCGGTTTTCGATTCATTTCGTATCGCTAGTTCTACTTACAAAAAATGGTCCACTTGGAGCTGTTGATTACGTGGCCGCATCGTTCCACCTATTTAAATAATTAAAGTTTGAGAATAGGTTGAGGGCCGTTACGTCCCTGATGTCTCTAATCATTGGCTCTACGCCGGATATAACTCTCGCCAGTTCCAGCTATTTTGAGAAAAACCATGATTTGAGTATACTGGACAATTTGATTAGTTTTTCACCCCTAAATTCAAGCCAGACAAATGATTTTCACATCAATATCAATGTGGATCTCCACCAGAGTTTCCTCCAATTTTGCCCCGCTCATGCATAATTCACCAAGCCCGAAGAAAATTTATTCCGTGAGCGTAAATTGATGCATGAAAATTCATTTATTCACCAAGCCCGAAGAAAATTTATTCCGTGAGCGTACATCGATGCATGAAAATTCATTTTTTGTTTTGTTTTTGAGTGCTGATTCTGTTACAATGTAGTATATGTCTTCATTTTTTATTTTTGAGTGCTGATTATGTTACAATGTAGTATATGTCTTCATTTTTTATTTTTGAGTGTTGATTCTGTTACAATGCAGTATATGTTCATAACTACTTTCTCAGTATACTGAAGCACAAAGATGTCTTCATTTTTTATTTTTGAGTGTTGATTCTGTTACAATGCAGTATACGTTCATAACTACTTTCTCAGTATACTGAAGCACAAAGAGTCAATACCGTTTCCACTAAGACTCGAACCAACAATCTCTGATATGAAAGAACAACTTGTGCAACTAGACCACAAGGTCTTTGGCTCGTCATTCATTAATAAAACAAAACGTTCTAATAATTTCGTAATTAACTAAAATTAAATACAACTTTTCAAAAAACACGTTCTAGCGTTCAAAAATGTTAAAAAAATCTTAGGTGAAAAATGAAAATTCATAATAAAATTCTAATGTCCTATGCTGACTATTCTTAACCATTATCGTTGACTTGGACATACTTTCTTTAGTCTTCGGTCTTCATTTATTATAATTATATTAATTTTAATTAATTCTTAACATCTTGATGAACGATGTGACAATTTTTGTTTATTTGACAAGTCAATCCTTCCAAGGAAAAAAAAAATTAAAAAAAGACTAAGAAATCATAAAGCAGCCAAAGAAATTATGGTCAAGTGGTAAATTTGTGGTTCTATCTTTCAAATGGGAGATTATAGGCCGTGTATAATTTTTGTATCTTGGTCAAATTCATCGCACAAGGTTGATTTTTCTAATACGGTACAGTCTCTAATGTAATTTATATCTCATGTGTGGAGTATAGTTTGAGAACTATTACACATAAGCTATATTTTCTCATATGGTCCTGTTTTTGTTTTTATTTTTATTTTTATTTTTCCTAAAAATATAGTAGTAGTTCCAAACGTAAGTCCATAAACTCTAGGTTGAAATTTTCAGCGACTCCGCGTTCACGGCGGAGAAAATTAAATGGAAGTTTGAACACGGAATATATACTTACAATAATGGAATGGTTAATTGCAACAGCTAACATTGTTGCCTTTGTCTTCTTCCCTCTGCCATAATATGTAGAAGTTGAATTAATTCTTTCTTATTCATTTGTTTTTAACATTATATATTGTTGGAGTTATTATATACGAGTTGGCACAATGATTTAAGGTGAAATTCAGGTTGTTTAGTTATTCAATAGCCTAATTTGTCACCCAAACAAAAAAAAAAAAAAAATCGCTAGATCAAGGTATGACAAACATACATCTTATTGTGGTGCATTATAAAAAAACGTAAAAATAAAGACAGATACTTTTCATTGTTAATTTAGCCGATAGAATAGAGATAAATTAGTGACAGGTTTTATTTTTTAAAGTGTTATTAGGGTTTATCGTTTACTAAATGATTAATTAATCGAATATATGTAAGTAGGAACACCGGAAATAACATGCAAACTAAGGGTTTTTTTTTTTGAAAGGAACTAAGGGCTATTTGATTATATTATATGTGCAAAGACTAGTTCATTGTTAGTTAGGGATTATAGGGGTGTGTTTAGTTTGCACATTGGAATTGGAATCGGAATCGGGATATGTATCAAATACTTGGTAATGATAATGAGTTTTAGTGAAAGTATTTTGTATGTTTAGTAGTAGGGTGGAATGTGAATGATTATTTTGATTATGTATGATTATAATATAATGAGAATAAGGATTTTAAAAATACAATAACACAAAATCAAGACAATTGATTCTAATATAAAGTCATCCAAAACACCAATATGAACAAAAAAAATAAAACAAAATCTAAAAGCACTAATCAAATGGAATGAAAAGAAATAATGTAATGAAAGAGGATGATACTTTTATTTTATTTGAGTATTGATTTTTCAATTAAACGGTATGTTCTTAAACCCTATCAACCAAACAATACTCATTCCTTAAGAGGGTCTAACATATACACTTAGGCCCATATATTATTACTTCCTCATCTGACCTTGTTCTAGTATGAACTTTATCAATTGGGTCAACCATAATGAAGAACACAAATGTCAATCGGTCCAATCGACTCTTGAAGTGGCCTTGGCCCAATTATCTATAGCAAGCCCAATGGCAATAGAATATATATTATATAAAAAGAAAATAAGTAACGAGAAAAATTCGCAGTTATTATTTGAGACTATACTAAGTAAATCATATCTTTGTAACTCTAATCGGCATCGCAAAAAGATAAATCAATTTAGGTGATTATTATTTGCATGTGCATCTCAATTGATGAAAGAGGTAAAATTTAAAAACAGTGATCCAAAAATGTGGTAACAATCTCTCAAAGTGAGAAATTCTTTACTTGCAGTAAGCAAAAATCTAACTTTTGTGTTCGAACCGTGAAAATAACCAGCTCAAATCGAGAAAGTCTATTGGTGGGGCCGGGTGTTGTGGCCGTATATAATAATGCACGATGAAGGCGTAGTTTAGAGTGACGTTTGATTTTGGTGCGCATTTCAAACGGATAACGTCCCCCGGGACTGAATAACCACCTTTCAAAACCAGACTGAAACTTAGCTTCTTCATTAATGGCCGCATCGCTCAACTTCAGCCTCGCCACCGCCGCTAACTTCCGCCGCACTACGCTACCGAAACGCTACACCAACTTCCGTACCACAATTCGATGCTCCGAGAGGGTTGAATGGGTACTTATCCACTTAATCACTTGATCTATATATGAATTTGAGATAATGATTTCTTACCTGTACGTGTGAAGGAAGGATCCGGAAGGAGTTCTGGGGCCGCCGCAATCGGGCCATATCGCCCGGCTGGAGTTCAAGACTCGGCTTGAGAAGGACAAGGAAGCCAGAGAAGCATTCGAACGCCATGTCCGCGAGGAAAAAGAGCGTCGCCGAGCTCTTCGTGAGGTATTTTTATTTCTATTTCTATTTCATTCACTCCTTGTATAATAAACCAATGCTCTTGGAACTATATTCTTTTAAATGCTAACATTTTGATTGCTGATGCTAGTCACGAGCTATCCCGGATAAGGTAGAGGATCTGGTTGAGTACTTTCTCGATACTGAAGCCCAGGAGATTGAATTCGAGATTGCAAGATTGAGACCAAGGTTTTGAGTTAATTTTCTCAAGGATGTAGAAATGCATACAACTTGTTAGACGAATTGCTGCTTTGAATTAGGGTGTTTTTTTTTTTTTTTTTGAGGAAATGAATTAGGGTGTTGATACAGTTTAACTCACTATTATTAGTTTTGAACTATTATTGGAACCAAAGTTGGAAATTGATACTGTTTGAGTAGAAAAGGTCCTTTGAGTGACGAGGTAAACCCGCAGACACTACCTGATGGTGTGCGATAAACCTCGTTTTGGCAAAGGATCACAAGGATGTAAACCATGCTAGGTTGCGTATAATTGATATGTTCAAACCAAGAAGGTCAATAGGCCGTTTGCGCTGAGAGTTGAATTTGTAACTTTTTAGTTACCGAGTCAACAACCTGACCAGCTTGGCTGGGTTGTCCCCTAGATATGTGCCATTTGCATCACTGAGAAAGTGTTGGTGTCTAGTAAAAGTTTATCTACCTGCAAGCTTATATTCCAGCATT